AATCCAAGCCCCAGAGCCAAAAACTCCAACTCCTCGAGCGGCTAGTCGGATCTGGCAAGGAGTCAAATCTCAGCCTAGATCCGAGTTCCGGCAGCGAACAAAATGGACGGGAAGAACAACAAAACAGGCGAATCGAACCACAACACCGACGGGCCAGTCCATCACCAAACAGTGACCCAAAAGGGCCGGAATTCAATCGCAGAGGGCTAGCCCGACCCCAAAAAACTGCCCTATAACAGTCTCGGCGGCAGGATGGAGACGGGAACACACGGTGGCCGAAGATGGAGGATGGAGAATGAGAACCGACACCTCTCTGCACCCCACCGAAGGAAATCGCGAAATCTCCTCCACGCGGCACCAGGTGGCTAAAGCATTTCTCCATCTCCGGCAGTGGCCGGTCCGGAGAGAGGGTCTTGTGCCGTGGCGGCGAGTAGCAGGAGGGGGAAGGTTAATTTTGAGATATGGTTTTTTGGTTTTTGGAGAGAGGAGGGGGACTTGTACCTCTTTTTGGTTTTTGAGTTCTAAGATTACATGAAAAAAGTACTTATGATATTGTTTTATTTCTTATAATTAATTTTACATGTTAACAACTAATTAAAAATAATAAATTTTATCAAACGCTTTTTTATAAACCGCTAACACTATCCGCTGGTCAAAACAGCTAATACAATCCGCTGGTCAAAACAGCCAATACAATCAGCTAACAGCTAATAGCTAACCGCTGATTACCAAACAAGCCCTTCATATTAAACTTATCTTCATAAATTTAACATCATTAATAAGTGACATAAAATAATTATACAAAATAGTAAATAATTAAATAATGTATTTAATATCTATGTTCTATATTTAATATAAAGAAGTTTGAAATACTATACCTAAATATTATTTTTTTATTTCGATTGCCTCTCTTTTTTACCTTGCTTAAAACATATGGAATGACATTTTTACCCTTAATCTTTCCATTTATTTTTTCCTTTCCCACCATTGTGTTCCGGATTTTCCATAGCCAATTTATATTTTTTTTTTTTTTTTTTTTGGTTACGATTGAAAACCCTAGAATTCACTACCTTTGATAAAGGGATCGTTGAAAGTAAAACAATCGGGACGCAATGGTAGGCTTGGCAGCCTTGGTGCTGGTGAGCCCCAAGGTTAAATTCAAATATGAGCAGATTGGCGAGTATATATCTCACATACGTTGAATTGATCGACGGCTAGAAAAAGCCTCATCTTTGAGGGGCGATTCCGCACCTACTACGACGAGAATAGAAATTTCGTTCACCCTCAATCGGCCTCGAGCGCAAGCACCCAAAAAACAAAAATGGCCTTTCAAAGCCTCTGACGATGTCGTGGCACTCTCTTTCTTTGGCCTCTTATTCAATCTTTGGTGCACATATGTATGAGGTAAATATTTTATTTTAACTTATATGTTGAGTTTCATGTCGATTGCAATTTCATTTACAATTAGAGAGATTATGTATTTTGGGATGAGTTTTCAAATACGTAGGTCCTCTTATGGCTTAAGTAACTGCGTTCAGTATTGTGATCCATCACACCCTATTTTGGCCTACCATTAGTTACAAGGAAGTTATTTTTCCTTTATTATTTGTTTTATTATTTGTTTATTTGCTAAATTGACTATTTTTTCCTTATGGTTGAGTGAAAAATAACACCAATTTTTTTCCTTATGGTGGTGACGTAGTAGGGAGATGGTTCTTTGTTTCACTCGGTTGGGGTGGATTGATTCGGGTTAGGTTCGAGGTTCGAGTTTGGCTTATGTATAGGCGTTCGGCAGCAGTTTCGGAGGTCGGGGTTGGGCTTGGGATCTTTCGTGGATTCTTTTGTTTCTCCGATGTTCCGACTTGTTTGACTGCTAGGGAAGGTCTTTGTTATTGTTTTCTTACATTGTTATTTTCTCTTTTTGTGTCTTGTGGTGTGTTGCTAGGCTTGTGAACGTGTGCTTTTTAGTTGTCCTTTTTTGTTGTCTTGTGTTTTAGGATCGTGTTTTAGGTTTGGGTCGTTGGCCTCGGTACTGCTTCCCCTGTGGGGGGGCGTTTCTATTCTCCTGCGGGGAGCGTTCGTAGTTGGTGTATTGGTGTCTTTGAGTTGTGTGTCGTGTGTTTTCTTTTCTAGCGTGGCTAGTGAGGCTCTAGGCAGTCTTTCGATCCGTCCTCCCAGTTTCTAGTCTTTGGTTGTAATATTCAGCCATGGGTTGCTTTTTTACATAGTTGTGCGTTTTTATCTATAATATCTCTATTGTTTCGAAAAAAAATAACACCAATCTTCTGATTTCTCATTTCTCATTTTGATTCTCGTCGCCTCCATACTCATCAGTTGCTATCCTCATTTTCACATCTCACCATCAACTAAGAAATAGGGAAACGACAACCATGGTTGTGATGCCCCCTGCTTTTTGGATATTAGCATCGGCAATGAGCTCGAAGGAGGTTCATTGGTTCGCTCTTCAGGTTTTGCTGCCAAACGCACAAATGTTAATCCGATATATTTTAAATCGCACTATTGTTGTTTACTTGTAAATCTTTATTGAGAAAGTTACAATTTCTAGAGTTATCCATGTCATCCCCAACCGAAAAAGCCATACTAAAAGCCATTTTGCAGTGACTATCAAATTTTGCAGTAATTCAGCTACACTGAAAACTCAACCTCAAACCCAAAAAAATATTTTCGGAATATTCTCTTTTACATCAACTTTTACCACTTTTCAATACTACCCACATATTTTACAACTTTACAAATTAAACCACATTATTGTTTTAGATTCAATTTGGACTTTATGTAATAAAATTAATTA